GCCCTTTCAAAAAAATGTTTTGAGCTTATTTTTGAATATTGATAATGTTTCTGATTCTCTAATATGGGCTGGTATTTCGTTCCATAGTTGTATAGAGGACGGAATGACAGACTTAGCATAAATTTCTGTTCTTCTTGCTATTGAAGCATAATTAGCATTATTTCGTAGCGAGTATAAATGTGAGGAAACATGTTCGACTGTTGGTGGGAATAAATGTGATAAATATAACGGCAAAAGGTTATGTTTTTCTTTATAAATTAAAATAAGTTTTTGCATTTTTCTCCTGTCGTCTAATGAAAGCCATCCTATTTCGTTTATAAGATTTTGAATTGAAACAGATCTAGTCAGACCTGTTACAACCATTGCTGCTTCATATTGTAGTTTTTCTAAAGTTTCTTTTTCATATTGTGTACAGTTATCCCATACAGTTGATGCACATTCAAGCCTTGGACGAAGATAGGAAACATATATATGATTAAGAGTATTTCTTTTACTTTGAATTTTATCAATTTCATTGAACCTAGTATTTTTGATGCAGACGATACTATATTTGCGATGTGCTCATGCCAGTTACCGTCTTGGCTAAATGTAACACCTAGATGTTTATGGTGGTCTACAAAATTAAGTTGAACATTATTAAAGTATAAATTAGGTCGATTTCGATGACTTCTGTTCTTTAGATAATTTTCCAACCAGTTTATCAAGTTTCCTTCAATTCCATATTGTCTTAACTTAAAAATTAAACCTTTATGCCAAACTCTATCAAAAGCTTTTGAAATATCACAAAAATTATACATGTTGATTCCCTAGTATCAAAGGATTTACAAATTTGGTTATAAATGTCTATTAATTGATAAATAGTGGAGTGGCCTGGAAGGAAGCCTGATTGGTTTTGAAAAATAAGTGAATTTTCATTAAAATAGTTATATATATGTTTAACAAGAGCCACCGCCGGGCGGGGGCAACGCTCGACTTTTTACTTTTTCTAAACGCAAACATAGAAAGGTTTGAACATATATTGACGTTTCCTTTTTATAAATTTAGTTGGTCTGTCTTGTCACATTAGTTTTGTTTATATATTTTGTATATATATGAATAGAAACATTAAGCATATTTCTAAAAATAGCAACAGTACGCAATTTCTTAAAATAGCAACATGACGCAATTTCTAAAAATAGACAAAATGTCGCAATTTCTAAAAATAGAAAAAAATGACATAATTTCTAAAAATAAAAAAATGACGCAATTTCTAAAAATATCAACAATGATGCAATTTCTAAAAATAGAAAAAATGACGCAATTTCTAAAAAAAAAAAAAATGACGCAATTTCTAAAAATAGAAAAAAAATGACGCAATCTCTAAAAATAGAAAAAAAATGAAACAATTTCTAAAAATAGCAACAATGATGCAATTTCTAAAAATAGAAAAAATGACGCAATTTCTAAAAATAGAAAAAATGACGCAATTTCTAAAAATAGCAACAATGACGCAATTTCTAAAAATAGAAACAAGAAACATGGCAATGCCATGAAACCAGGTTTTCAATTATCACCATTGTAGATAAATATGTTGTATTTGAAATACAAATACAAGCAACAAACAATGTAACTATGTGCAATGTAAAACATGAATAATGTAGGAGGAATTGCCACTGAAGAAGTGTTCACTATATATCCTGAATAAGGAAAAAAACAAAGGGCCATAATTAGATCAAAAATTATTCAATCACAAAACCCCAACAATATGTGCCAGGGCGCTTGATGACAAAGCTTCTGTGAAAGTTTGAACAAAATCCGTTGAGAAATGTAGGACGAGTTCAGCACAGAAGAATTTGTTCACTATATATTGATAATTCTGTATAAGGAAAAAAACAAAGGGCCATAATTAGGTCAAAATATTATCCAATCACAAAACCCCGACAATATGCGCCAGGGCACTTGATAATAAAGCTTCTGTAAAAGTTTGGTCAAAACCCGTTGAGAAATGTAGGACGAGTTCAGCACAGAAGAATTTGTTCACTATATATTCTGTATAAGGAAAAAAAACAAAGGGCCATAATTAGGTCAAATATTATCCAATCACAAAACCCTGACAATATGCGCCAGGGCACTTGATGACAAAGCTTCTGTGAAAGTTTGGTCAAAACCCGTTGAGAAATGTAGAGGGAGTTCAGCACAGAAGAAATTGTTCAGTATATATTCTGTATAAGGAAAAAAAAACAAAGGGCAATAATTAAGTCAAATATTATCCAATCACAAAACCCTGACAATATGCGCCAGGGCACTTACTGACAAAGCTTATGTGAAAGTTTGAACAAAATCCGTTGAGAATTGTAGAGGGAGTTCAGCACAGAAGAAATTGTTCACAATATATTCTATATAAGAAAAAAAAACAAAGGGCAATAATTAGGTCAAATATTATCCAATCACAAAACCCCGACAATATGCCCCAGGGCACTTGGTGACAAAGGTTCTGTGAAAGTTTGGTCAACATCCGTGGAGAAATGTAGGAGGAGTTGCGCACAGAAGAAATTGTTCACTATATATTCTGTATAAGGAAAAAAAACAAAGGGCCGTAATTAGGTCAAATATTATCCAATCACAAAACCCCGACAACATGCCCCAGGGCACTTGATGACAAAGCTTCTGTAAAAGTTTGGTCAAAATCAGTTGAGAAATGTAGAAGGAGTTGCGCACAGAAGAAATTGTTCACTATATATTCTATATAAGGAAAAAAAACAAAAGGGCCATAATTAGGTCAAATATTATCCAATCACAAAACCCCGACAATATGCCCCAGGGCACTTGGTGACAAAGGTTCTGTGAAAGTTTGGTCAACATCCGTGGAGAAATGTAGGAGGAGTTGCGCACAGAAGAAATTGTTCACTATATATTCTGTATAAGGAAAAAAAACAAAGGGCCGTAATAAGGTCAAATATTATCCAATCACAAAACCCCGACAACATGCCCCAGGGCACTTGATGACAAAGCTTCTGTAAAAGTTTGGTCAAAATCAGTTGAGAAATGTAGAAGGAGTTGCGCACAGAAGAAATTGTTCACTATATATTCTATATAAGGAAAAAAAACAAAAGGGCCATAATTAGGTCAAATATTATCCAATCACAAAACCCCGACAATATGCACCAGGGCACTTGATGACAAAGCTGCTGTGAAAGTTTGGTCAAAATCCGTTGAGAAATGTAGGAGGAGTTGCACACAGAAGAAATTGTTCACTATATATTATATATAAGAAAAAAAACAAAGGGCCATAATTAGGTCAAATATTATCCAATCGCAAAACCCCGACAATATGCGCCAGGGCACTTGATGACAAAGCTTCTGTGAAAGTTTGGTCAAAATCCGTTGAGAAATGTAGAAGGAGTTGCGCACAGAAGAAATTGTTTACGCCCGCCCGCCCGCCCGCCGACATACCTAAATCTAATAACCAGTTTTTTCCTTCGGAAAACCTGGTTAATGACGCAATTTCTAAAAATAGAAAAAATGACGCAATTTCTAAAAATAGAAAAAATGACGCAATTTCTAAAAATAGCAACAATGACGCAATTTTTAAAAATATGACGCAATTTCTAAAAATAGAAAAAAATGACACAATTTCTAAAAATAGCAACAATTTTGCCCTGTGTTAAAAAATGCAACGAACAGAGGTGTGGCCTCTATGATTATTTAATAGAAGGATATTCTTTAAAACTTCAGGATAAAATATTTCATACAAAAGAAAATATGGACTGTACTGTTGAAAATGTTTTATATGTTTTAGTTTGCAACGGCTGCAAAGAATTTTACATAGGCCAAACAGGTGACAAACTCAGAAACAGAAAAACTGTTCATGCTCAGCAGATAAGAGACCCATCAACCAGACAATTACCTTTAAGTGAGCATTTAGATAAATGCTCTAAAAAAGACCCGAAATTTTGTATTTTCCCATTTTATAAATTTCAGAGTAAAAACGTTTCAGCTAGGTTATCTAAAGAACGCTATTTTATTGATGTTTTTAATCCAAAACTTAATACTATATAATGACGTTACTATTTTTAGATTATGCGTACACATGTGTACACAAAAACGTCGTCGTTACTATGCGACGACGTCACATTTGCCTTGATGATCATAAGAGAAACCGGTTGGCAAATTATTAAATAAGTTAACTCATGGACTGTGTTTTTTGTTTTATTTATATGTGACTTTTTTCCTGCACTTGTTTTCATTTTTTGTATATATATATATATATATATATATATACATGTATATATATATTTGATATATATTTATATATATATATATACATGTATATATATGTATATATATATTTGATATATATATATATATACATGTATATATATATGTATATATATATTTGATATATATTTGATATATATTTGATATATATATATATATATATATATATATATATATATATACCTGCATATATATATATATATTTGATATATATATATATATATATATATATACACATTTATATATATATATATATATAATACATATACTATACATACACACACACCAATAAATGCACAATCTGAGAAAAATCAGTAATATAACCTTCAAGGTCAAGGTCATTAAAGAGCCCAAGCAAATTTGGGTTTGATAAACAACAAGGTCTGGTCATTAAGAATGTTCTGTTATAATATCAAGTTTATCCCTTCAAAATAGCAAAGTTACAGTCAGTTACTGCCAAAACAATGAAAATTTCAATAATTTGACCTTCAAAGGCAATGTCATTAATGAGTGAAGGTCAAGGTCTTTCGGTATATTTTTAACAGTTATCTTTGAAGATTATTATTTTCAAGTTTGAAGACAATCCATTCAAAAATAACAAAGTTATAGCCAATAATAGCCAAAAAAATGAAAATTTCAATAATTTGACCTTCAAAGTCAAGGTCATTGATGAGTGAAGGTCAAGGTCTGACTGGTTATTTTTAAGGGATATCCTTGAAGATTATTATGTTCAAGTTTGAAGACAATCCATTCAAAAATAACAAAGTAACAGCCAATAACAGCATGAACAAGCAAAAATTGGACTTTAAACCTTGAAGGTCAAGGTCATTTATGGATGAAGGTCAAGGTTAGTGTGGTCTACTGAAAGGTCTTGTCCCAAGGGTTGTTGTGGCCAAGTATGAAGACAATACACCAAGAAATAAAAGTTATGATCCAGGTACAAGTTTTCGGACGGCAACGGCAACGGCAAAGGCAACGCCGACCTGACTATAACAATACCTCTACTTTTTTTTTTTTCAAAAAAAAAAAAAGTCGAGCTAAAAATTATTCTTTCCATTACTTTTCCGACACAACTTATTAGTGATATTGGTCGGTAATTAGATGCTTCATCTTTATTTCCTTTCTTATATAAAGGCATAACATGAGCAAGTTTCCAATTAGATGGGTACATATTGTCATTTAAAGATCGATTAAAGTGTAAACAAAGAGGTTTGCATATTGATTTAGATGTTTCTTTAAACATTCTATGACTAATTTCGTCGGGACCCGAAGCTTTATTTATGATAAGATTATCTAATATATCGGTAACTTCTTGTTCTGTAATTAAAATATTATTAAGTTTTGAATGTGTTTTGAATGAAAAATCCGGAAGTTCAGTGTTTGAATCGTCAATATTTGAAATTGAAAACAAAGAAATCGTTCAGTGTATTTGCTTTTTCTGTGTCAGAATATGATATATCTGTGTTATTACATTTAATAAGAGGTGGAATATTTCCCGAATCAGAAGAGTTTTCTTTGACGAGCATTTTTACCGTTTTCCAATATTTGCTCGAATCATTGCTATTAAGATCGTTAAGTGAAAATTCTAAATTGTTGTAGAAAGCGTTTTTGGCATGTTTTTTCATATTATTTACCTTATTTCTTGTTTTTTTGTATTTATTCCAGTCATGTACGTTATTTGAATTCAATGCTTTATGAAATTGACTATCCCTAAGTCGGTAGTTTTTCGAATTTCGGAATTAAACCAAGGTTTATCTTTAGGCCTTACTAACGCTATATACGTAGGAATGCATCGCTTAGCAATATCTAAAAAGTGTTTGTAAAATGTTCGCATGCAATATCAATATTTTCACTGATAATTAACGACCAATCGAAATCACGAATAAGGGTATTAAATGTAGTAAAATCAGCGTTATTGTAGTTCCATACTCTTCTTTTAAATGGTTTATTTGAATCAAATTCAATTTTGAAAAAAAATGTAGGTGCCGAAATGATCACTTATCTCGTTTGGTGTTTCGAAAATTCCCGAATCTAAAACATGAATGTTATTTGTTGTTGCTATAGGATCAATTAATGTACTGGTACTTGGTGTAACACGAGATGGTACCTGAATAACGTTGGTCATATTGTTCAGTAATAACACGTCGCGAAGTTTATGATTCGAATAATTCAGCTGGTCTTCATTTATATCTCCTACCATGACTATGTGGTTTTGCATCTCTAGAGCCTGTTCGAGACACCTATTTAATTTATCCCAAAAATCGACCGTACTATGAGGGGGCCTATATAAAGTGCATAATAGATATGAATGTTTTTTGTCTTTAATTTCTATCCAAAGCGATTCTGGAAGGATGTTTTCCAAAACATCTACACGTTTTGGTCTTAAAAAAGCGGAAACATAAGTTAATAACCCCCAGCATGACATGAAATATCCTTACGAAACATATGATCGAACCCCGGTAAAATTAACGTGTTATCTTGAACATTTGCATCCATCTTTGTTTCCGTAAAACACAAAATATCATAATCGAGAAAGTTGTCATTTACAAAGTCTAGTTTACTTCTAATGCCACGAACGTTTTGATGGTATATAGTTAAACAATTTTCCTTAATAATCTCGGGGCCTGGATTTGACTCAATGTCGCCTGCTCTATAAGTAGTAGATAAAAAAAGTAAAAATGTAATAAAACTGTAATTAAAGGGAGACAATTGTTGTTCATACGTCTTACATCATGAGTTATCTGCTCATAATCACACGACCCCGCAATTGCCCGCCATAACAGTAAGTCTTTAACTATAATCATTTCGGTATGTAAGTGGCATTGTCCAGGCAGGCAATAATGGGATCGTTATAATTAAATTGTTAATGGAGAGCAACCGGTGACGACCGACACACAACAATAAGTATACAGCAACAATTTTAGAAAGAAAAGAAATTGAAGAATAATTAAAACAACTAAATTGGATTAACAACATACGAAGAAAATTCAGAAAATAGTACGTAGGATAATTATTATAAATATATTAGATGCAATATTTTTTATATTTTTTTTTCTTCAGGCTTGTTTGAATAAACACGGGGAAACATAACAAAAAAGTTAATTTTGTGTTACAAAGAGTAAAAATAATTGTATTTTGTTTGACACCTAAAAAGTATTACAGGTCACTTAGTTATAGATACACAAAATATAATATTATAATAAATAACATAGCCGGATAGACAGTAATAGAAATTCATACTGGTAGCTTCACAGGATATTGTATACCATATTTTACCCAGTGAGTCTAACCATCCCACTGAAAGTAAAACTCCTTCCCGATTAAGGCGAAGGATAGAAGATAACCAGGAGAAAACTATATACTTTCTTTCTAAACTAGACCTATAAAGATATTTTATATAATTATTAAAATAACTTAACGCTTTCTTACACAAATAGAACAAAAAAAAGCACATAAACAAAACTCATTTTTTACATGTAAAGGAAAAAAAAGAAAGAAGAAAACTCTGTACATACTGAAAAATCACGCCTTATTCGCTCGTTCAAGCATATCGATGTAAGGCCATACATAAACAGTTATTGCAGTTTCTTGTTGTCTTTTTCTACTATGTTTTCAAAAAAAAAAGTTTACACTATATTT